TGAAACTCGATTTTGGGTTCTACTGCTTATGGTCTTTGAGCTATATGTAATCAAACAGTTATACTTTTTTTTGCGCCACCCGGTATATATATATATACTGTACAATAACATAACATAAGTGCGTAACAGTGCATAAATAAGGCTATATAATGTAAAATGTCTAAAATTACAAACTACAATATTATTGTGCATAACAGCATCCATGTTTATCAAGTATTTAAACACTTCGTTCTTGAACCGCACAAGTGTTTTTAGATCTCGTATTTCTTTCGGTAGAGAATTCCAAACTCTGGCAGCCGAGAATCTGAACGAGGTCTCGCCACATCTAGTTCTTACTGGCGGTAAATCTAGTAATGTTAATACTCTAGTAATATTCAGGTGAATGTAATGTTTTTTAATATGTTACTCTGAGTGTATATCCACACCGGGCAGACTGAAAAGTTAGCCGGACCACGGTGGTAATCGAACCCTCGACCTTTGGGGTAGTAGTCCAATGCTCTGCCAACTGGTATCGAATGTACTAGACTTACAGTAGTTCCGAAATACCACACACTCGCATAGACTTGACCTCGTAGCTCAGTTGGCAGAGCATTGGACTAGTATCCCAAGAGTCGCGGGTTTGATTCCCACCGTGGTCAGGCTAACTTTTCAGCCTGCCCAGTGTGGATATACACTCCGAGTAACATTAAAAACATCACAGTATACCTGGGTCATATCTGATTTTGCATGTGTTGCATTGACTTCCAATAATGAATTTTCTTCACTTCAACGCTCATTCGCTTCGGTGTTGTTGAGCACTCTGCGGAGTTGTTAATGGGTGTCTAAAGCCTCCCTTGTGGTCGTTTGGGCTCTCTGGCCCCGTTACACTCTGCGCATGTCTGGATGCGTTGATATCATTGTGTTGTACCACATGCCTTGGTGAGAGCAAGCTCATGTGATATAAATACGAATATCTCACGCACCTAGACGTGTACCAAGGCGTAGAACGCCGAAACATGCATGTCTGCAGATTGTATACGATATATGTATAAACAAAGTAAAGATTATTTCTCAAGCTTTGTATTTGGAAAATATCTGAACTCCCAACGGGAATCGAACCCGTGTCTCCCGAGACAAACAAAGAACAATATAATAGTGCATCATGTCATTTAACTCTTGTAGTAGCTACAGTGGTCTGCGCACCGAAATGACTGTTTTGACTGACGAGTGTTACATTTTTCAAGTTGGTTCGTTTTTGTTCAAAGCAAAGTGAATCAGAGGGTGATCGCTTTTTAGTTCATCCAAATCAAACGTTTCTGCAAATTGGATATGCTGGTAAAAATACCTTGCAAGCTTTTACTCCGTCTAATGTCAGACAGTTTTACTCGCCAAAGAGAGAATGCTGCTATTCAATGGCTTTTATTAGAGACCTTACGATTTTAGGACGGCAACGGCTACCAATACAATAGATCATTGAAAAGAATTGAGTAATTACAATATATGGATAATTTAGACATTGTCCTCGCTCTGTTTACAACGCCAAATCACAGATTTTCACGTCGTGATACAACGGCTGCATTTCAAGCCGCAACCAGTGCAACTTCAAACTGGATTCAGCAGAACTCTTCCCAACCATGAAACCCATGTCTTCAACTTCTATAAGACTGTATTAAATTCATACGATTGATAATGTACTAGAGTGGATCGATATACCGGATATATCCGGTATACCTTATACCGGTATTTGTTTAGATACCGGTACTGGCGATATTGACAATTTAAAAATACCGATATACCGACATTTCGGTATTTTGCTGCCTATAATACCGAATTGAAACGCTATTTCAAGTCAAACTTGCTTACAATCGCGTTTAGAAAGCAAAGTTAATTAGATTTACATCACCTTGTAGTACTGAATGATTCAACACTTCGACGCCCAATCGACGGCCTACTATAATAATTGCCGCTTAGTGCCCTTAACATAGCTTGATAATGCGAGTCTTGTGACATTTGCACTAATAAAGGCCGCGCACACTAGAGCTATGTGCTTAGCAAAATGTCATTCGTGACTGTTGGCGTAAGGAGATAGCTCTCGTGTGCGGGCGATTTACAAACGACTTTTGTCATTCGTGCCACTTACGCCAAATATCTAACATGGTTGATAATTTCTGCCTCGCGTGCCAAAATCTTTTCGTGTGCGGCGAACGAAAGCTATCTGCTTACGGATTGTCGTAACAGCGCATGCGTAGTATACGAAAGTAAACATCCAAGATGGCGGCGCAAAATGAATTGCTGGCCGAGGCAATTTTAGAGGGCAAACTTACTGGCTATTTCTTTCACCGCACATTCCCTTTTGTCCCTATTTCTAAAATCTGCAGAACTCACATCGTATAAACATTTATATTCAGGCCAAAGTTCGACAAGTTTGTCCTCTAAAATTGCCTCGGCCAGCAATTCATTTTGCGCCGCCATCTTGGATGTTTACTTTCGTATACTACGCATGCGCTGTTAAGACAATCCGTAATCAGATAGCTTTCGTTCGCCGCACACGGAAAGATTTTGGCACGCCAGGCAGAAATTATCAAACATGTTAGATATTTGGCGTAAGTGGCACGAATGACAAAAGTCGTTCGTAAATCGCCCGCACACGAGAGCTATCTCCTTACGCCAACAGTCACGAATGACATTTTGCTAAGCACATAGCTCTAGTGTGCGCCGGCCTTAACAGTATGTGCCACATTGATATTTTGTCAAAACTTGATTTTTCTCGACGGTCAGCAGTTCAGTTTGGCTTAAAAAAAACACGTTAAAAATACCGGTATTCTGATGGCGGTATATCGGTATTCGGTATTTGCGATATCGATCCACTCTAAATGTACGACGAACTATCTTTACTACCATTTATTTGATGGAGTTTGTTTTGGCCGTCGCCATGCGTTGCCGTCCTAAAATCGTAAGGTCTCTACAGTAATATCAGCCGAAGCCGGACTTCATGTCCACAGACTAGTCGGAGGTAAAAATCCAGAGTTTACCCACTTTTAATTTTTGTCTTTTTATTTTTGTGTTTAGAGTCACAATTCAAGCACCGGTATGACAAGTCTATGTAGTGCATGTAGGCGACACTACCTGAGTTTAAGACGTGTGTATGACAAGTTACTGGCGGAAACGACAGATGATAAGGAAGAGGATGAATTGTGCGTGGATATCATGTCACTGGTATGAGATATTTCATTTTATTGAGCATGCCTGTAGAAAAGCCTGCATGCTAGGTGTGCTGGGCCAAGACGAAATTTTTTGTGACCAAACTGAAAAATCATCTTGCCAATAGTCGATAGTGATTACTGTTGAAGAATGAAGATCCGAACTGTACAGTGTGTATCAAAATAATTCGAATCCAAATTTGGCGTGTAATAACGCAGAATATATTTGACAAATTCGGTTGGTTTTTACACCATTGTTAAGTTCATTTATTTACCTTTCAAATGACATGCTGTACGCGTCATTTAGTTGGAAAATGACGGAGTATTGCTTTGACAAAAAAAGTCCATAAAAATCACAATTTTCCGCCGATGGGAATTGGACATTTTTTCTTTCAAAGTTAGTCCCACAAGGCTTTGAAATGGTAATCATCACTGAAAACTTAAATGCAAATTTAACGCGAATTTCTTCTCGTTCAACATGTTGAAAGCATAGGAGCTTAAATCTCTTTAAATGAACACGAATTTATTAATTAAATTTGCATTATCTTTTGTTTGTACGTCTCACTTCGAATTCCCATCGGCGGAAAAATTTGATTTCGAACAACCAGTTTTAACACACGATTTCTTGCTCATTTTTGATCTTATTGATATAAGAACGACATAATCGGAAACCTAATAGGCTATTCTTAATTGCCATATAAAAATTATATGGTTTACTTTAGTATTTTATAAACAGCAGTCTGTCAAATTTGGATTCGAATTATTTTGATACACACTGTATACAAGGTGTCTCAAACAAAACGCAATGGAAATTCAACAGGCTGTCGTGCGTCATAAATTTTGCTAAACAATTCAATTTTTACATAGGCCGAAAGGGCTGTTATTTAGCTTTTCTATGATACTTTTTCTGAATCGTAACGATGAGAAATGGCCACATACTCGTCAAATAAAAATTGTCGGTCGAAATCACACTCTTCTACCGTTGGGAATTGAAAATACATTAATTATGCCAAGTTAATCAATCCAAAAGCAACGCGAGTCTGTTGCAAGCTATTTGTTTCGTAAAACGTTTTGATTACGAATGTTCTCTGTTCAGTGGTTAATTGAAGACACTAAGACGAAGATTGACGAGTTGAGCTCATTTTAGATAATTTAACGTTTAACTTTAATTTCCTCTTGGGAGTTGTCTATGTCTCGTTTTCCATGCAATTCCCAACGGTGGAAGAATGTGATTCCGACCGGCAATTTTTATTCGACGAGTATGTGGCCATTTCTCAAAAAAAAGAGTATCATTGAAAAGCTAAATAACTGTTCTTTCGTCCTATGTAAAAATTGAATTGTTTAGCCACGTTTATGATGCACGACAGCCTGTTGAATTTTCATTGTGTTTTTTTTCACAGTTGTCAGTTAAATTTAATTGATTGAAATATTGAAATAGGCAATTCCAGCTTTTAGTTTATGCGTGCAGGGCATGATGGGAAGTAATGTATCATATTGCTGATTATGCTGAAAAATTTCAATAGAAACTGCCGAAACAACCGAAATATTTCAATATTTACAAGTATAAGCTATCACTCCGTGTTTACACGGCCACCATTTTTAATTTTTCAGCATAATCAGCAATGTGATACCTTACTTCCCATCATCCCCTGCACGCATAAACTAAAAGCTGGAATTGCCTATTGAACAATCAAATATATCAATTATGAAATATGAATACTTCAATGTTAAGATTTAATTCGTCTGCACAAACATTCTCCCCAGTGTGTATTATATGATTTTTTTAAATTTTCATCCTCACAACTCACAAATTATGTAATGTAAAATCACTAAAATAGTCAAATGTTCCTCAGTTTAGTCTGTTCTAAGCAACTTTAGATTTTTGGGGGGCCAGCCAGATTCCCGAAATCATGTGGCCTAGAGATTCCAGGCTTTTCCAGCTATACAGCACTAAAGATCCAAACTGAAATTTATATTTGCCAAGACGAAAATTTTCCTTTTTATCAAACTAATTTCTAATAAATTAATACCAAAATATTTACAAGAGTTACAGACTGCAAAGAAACCAATATAATACAATTATTAAGAAATTTTAGATTTAAACTCAGCGAGAGATTGAGCTCTGACGAATTCGATGCGGGTACATATGTCGTTCCGTAGAGCAGTCTTTTTTGACACTTGCCCTCAGGGCAAGTTGCACATGAAAATTAGTTGCCCTGAATAAACTTCACTTCCCATCAGACAATGGCCACTGGGGTACCTAGACCTATCTAGGTACCCCATGCAGTGGCCATTGCCTGATGGCAGGGCTCGAAATAACGTTTCCAACGTTCCCGATCATGGTGATCAGCTGTCATGATTTTCTGCTGATCAAATGAAAATCTGGCCGATCAGTATAGGATACGTCCTGTTTATATGTTATGTGATAATGCCGTAGTATTGCATGGTGTTCATTAATGACATTAACCACGTTTTTGAGACAATGGTTCTTGCCGATCAAGATGATCGGCAACCTTGCTTTTCTGCTGATCAAAAGCAATTTTCTCAAATCTACCTTTGGCCCACGAGAAACAAAATTTGAATCAAGTCCATGCACTATAAAAAATTTATCTGACAATGAAGACATAAACTTAAAGATGCCCAGTTTTTTGTGGCAAGGCAACTTGCCCAATCGGGCAAACAAAACAAAACGTTCACTTGCCCGTCATGATATTCATTTGCATCGGGCAAGCGGGCAAGTGTTAGGTTACACCTCTGCATAGGTTAGAGTCTCGCAAAATGTGTTCGTCTACCATAGAAGTAGGAGTAAATTTTCTTGACAAGTAACTATAGGAACCATTATCAACATTTCTGTACATACAGTAAATGTTTCGAACTGTTGAGTACGTCTGGTTTCAAGGTTGGTCCAATTCAATGATGTTAAGATATCTGAGGACCGAATGTTGTAATCAGATTCAGTAATAGATCTTGCAGTCCTATTCTGTAAACGGTGTAGCTTTTGTCCAAGATCCTTGCGCGTATATATAAGCTATCCGAAACAATGCTACAATAATCAAAGTGTGGCCGTATTAAAGAGTTGTAAGTCAAGACAAGAATTGACTGTCGAATAGGACTGTTCGGTATACCGATATACCGAAAATATCGGTATTAAATCAATATCGGTATATCGATACCGGATATTCAACCATATACCGATATACCGATTTTTCCGATATACCGGAATATATGGCGAAACCATAACCTTTATTTTACCAGTGGCGGATTTAGACCGTTGCAACTGTAGCATATGCTACGGTCAGATTTTCCATAGGCCAGTTCTAACATGGATCATAAAATCAATCTAAAATATAATTTAGCAATATTTTGTTTACTTTCCTTGTTTATATTTCAAGGTTTTATTTTATTTAGTTTTATATGTTCTAAAACATTTTATTTTGACAAATTGATGACATTTATAATACGTAAAGTTAATTGTTTTAAGAATTCCCGCCCGAAAATACGGTTGTAATTGCCCGTTTGCGGGTCATTACGCAATGGACTATAGCTTAGAAAATATCATCCTTCAGAAATACACCGTAGCGTGTTGCCCATATATGATCAATTTTCGCTACGGTCAGATTCATTAAGGTCGAATCTGACCGTAGCGAAAATTGGCATATACGGCATTCTGATTGGTTTGCTACGGTCAAACGTAGCAAACCAATCGGAATGGGGCAAATGCTATAGTTTGCTACGGTGGCATGAAATTGGCTACTGCTCCAGAACGATGGAATATCTGATATTTGTGTTTGGCTCATCAACAACATGCTATTGGGAACCCACAGTACGGTTGTGCGCATTTCGAAATGAAAGCCGTCGTAAAGCTAAAGGATTTATATGCGTCGAGGTAGAAATAAAATCAGATAGTAAAACGAATCATTTCCAGTCAGGTAAGCCTTATGAATGATAAGAGATGTACATTAATATTTTAATTTGAGTTTTTACTGTATAGTGTTCGCTATTAACTTCGCTTTATTAAAGTGTTTGTGCGCGTATGTACAGTATACCTGCATGTATTGGAATTAATACGCGAATTATGATACGCGCGTATATATATCGTGTTTTATAGCGCGCTAATATTTGTTTGTAATGCGTATATATTCGTAAGATACGCGTATTCGTATCATACGCGCGTTCATATGATATGCGTATTCGTATGATACACGCGTTCGTAGATGATACGCGTATTTCGGTATTCAATTGATAATGATATGCGTATGATACGAGTATCATACCGATATCGTATGTTAAAATATACGCGAGCAATAGTTTACATTTTGAGATCATTTCGGCTTATTTTTGCTTAAGAAATGAATACAATGAGGACAAATTTAATGGTCACATGCAGTGCTCAGAACGCAGGAAATGGCATTTCCGGGCTTCAAATTTCAAAAATTTTCCGGGGGGACATACCCCCGGACCCCCCTAACTATGCGAGGTCTTGGAAAATGCTACGGTCAGAATTTTGGCTGGATCCGCCACTGTTTACTACTGAATGGCAATTCAAAGAACTTTCTACTGCAATGATTTAGAATTTCCACTTTAGTGAGATTTTACACTGAGTACGTGTCGTTCGAAACATGTTCGAAACAGCTTCGAAATGATCGTTTTCCCTTTTAGAATTATTCAAAATTTCCTTCAGGAAGACCGGTATACCGTTAATATCGGTATAATTTTTTCGGTGTACCGATACCGGAAATTTCTCATACCGAACATTCCTACTGTGGAAGTAATGGTTTTTGTCTTCGTAAAATTCCAATCACTTTGGAGACTTTCAAGATTACAGATTACGATTTTGGGTCCGACATACATGCATGTCCGATGACCTTCAGTTCGGTTTGGCTCGGAAATAGATCTGAATGACAAATGGATGATTGGAGCTATTGACTAAGTTTTGATCTAGGCAAGAAGAACAAAATCCATTACCACAGCTAGATAGAGCATGTTAAAATTAGTAAAATTGCAAAGTTTGGTTTCGAATTGTTGTATTGGGAAACATAGCCCTGCGAAATTTGCAAATTTTGTGTTAATTTTTGTATTACGCGCGGGAAAATGCACCGCTTTCGGCACAAATGTGGTGCATTTTCCCGCGCGCGTAATACAAATTACTACAAAATTTGCGAATTTCGCAGGGCTATATTTTCCGTATTTTATAACATTTCGCGGCCATAACCTTTACTCATTTTAACATGCTCTTTCTAGCTGTGTTGATGGATTTTGTTCTTCTTACCTAGATCAAAATTTAGTCTAAATTAAGCTGGAATTATCAGTTATAATATCAGCACAATTCGGAACTAAATATAAATGTTGTGCAGATGTTAAATAATTTGTGTCATTCACACTTATTTCCAAGCCAAAATTAACTAAAGTTTGCCTATATAACAGCAGTGTTAAAAAAGACTTCGACAACTTAAGCCCGTTTTCCACTTCACCATTTCGCTCTCCGGGCGCCTTCGATTATATTAAAACAACATTTCCAGTTCACTTTTTATACATTACTCTGATTCTCCATTTAACATACAAGCCTCTAGTCCTAGACTAGGGTACATTTTGATTTACGTCAGACAAAGCTACAGTTCTGTCGGACACCAATACACTCGGGTCGGACAAAAAATTTCCGTTTCGCTTAAGTTTTGTTAATGGTGACGTGACATGCATATCTACAAAAATTCAAAATGGCGCACATTTCATTCCTTTCGATCAAAATATTTGTAGAAGTGAGCAAGATATGAAAAAAAAGGTAAAAAAGTATTATATAAAGTCTTAAAAGTTCTTTTAAATGGGAAATAAAAAAAATATATTGCCATTTGCCTTTAAGTACACTTTAAGGCCTATGGGTGTCTAAAATTCTGATGTATAGGTATAAGATGCTAATGCGTTTCGTCATTTTGCAGATGAACGACACGCGACGCGATTGGACAATTGGATTTGATTGCAATAAAGTGAAAGAAAAGAATTACAATGTATTGTCGTTGAGTGGCGTGTTTGGTTTCCTCACATTCATTTATTATGCTGCGGTGCGAAAACACGAGAAGTACAAGAATAAAATACGAACACGTATGTATACTTTTATTTTTGATGAAATTAGCAAGGGTAGAATGCCGGACGAGACTGCCAGGCTGCCTCTCTCTCCCGTACTTTACTGCTACGCGTATTAAGCATTTGAAAAAAAAACGAAAACCGATACCGGAAAAAAACCCCGATAATACCGATATATCTTAATTTTATGCAAAATGTCCGCTTAATTTTATGCAAAATCTTTTGTTTTCAAATGATGCCAAACAGCCATGATATAACAGCTTTGACTCATCGGGTGCGTGATATTTTCAATAAAGTGTGAGGCCAGTGATCAGTGGCCTGTGAAATGTCCACTTTAAGAATTGAAAATGCATACTACTTATTAGCATTGATTACCGCACCGGATGAATAATGTGTGATATTTTTGGCCGGAAAATTGTTTCAAAACATTTTATTCAACTGCGAATTCGAAACAAAGATTGTCCTATCTCACCAGATAGCATGTCCAATGAGGTTAGTTTTTGTTTTTCTAAAGCATTCGTAATCCACTTTTGTTTTTACGTTCTAAAAGATCACTTTTTGATAAGCGAAATGACATCTTTATACACCTTGCAATGCCAATGTATAAACAAACACGTTTTAGATAGCGCTCTAACCTTAATTTACGGATTTTCCCGCGGAGTTAGCACATTGATCGTCTTTGACCTTCTGAAATAACTCCAATCAGCGCTTGAAAAAGCTTGATATGGCGTTTTTATATATGCAAATGTAATATCGATAATACCGAAAAATATCGATATTCCGATATATCGAAAATTTCAATATCGAGTAATCGGTATTTATAAAAAAACGATAATTATCGATATCGATATACCGCAACAGCCTAACGCGTATTATTATTGCCCCGTACTTAAGCCGTTATCTCATACCTAGCGTATTACCGGCTGCCCTATTGGCTATGAGGAGATGCGTTCAATCTCGAACCCACCTGCTGACGTATGTTTAGGAGGGAGGTTCGAGATCGATGTTTTCGGCGGCGACCATTATGGGCTAGTATTCCAAAGGTCGTAGGTTCGAATCCCACCGTGGCCGGGCATATATTTCAAGCTCGCCCGGTGTGGATATACACTCAGAGTAACACCACAAATATCATATTCACCTGAGTACACTACACCAACACAGAAAAAAAATTCATATTACTAGAATACATTGGTATCGAAGGAACTAGATTTTGTTCCAAAATATCACTTACTCGAACCGTCCTGACCGCGTAGCTCGTTGGAAGAGCATTGGGCTAGTATTCCAAAGGTCGTAGGTTCGAATCCCACCGTGGCCGGGCATATTTTTCAAGCTCGCCCGGTGTGGATATACACTCAGAGTAATACCACAAATATCATATTCACCTGAGTACACTACACCAACACAGAAAAAAAAAGAAAAAGAAAAATTCATTATGAAGCGATTTGAACAAATTTCAGACGAGGATTTAGATACAAAAATTGAAGATTTATATATAAATCTTGGTAATGTTTTCGCAGAATGTGTGCATTTTCTCTTTTCAAGAATAAGGGAATATTGTAAAGATTTTTTTAGCTTCAATTTAAGCCTAAGTTTGTTTGTTTGCGTATAGTATGTTGGCTGCTAAAATGTTCGTTATACTGTGGCGGATATGTGCATGCATGGATGTTTCCGAAGAGGGTTAAAAGTACCAAATTGTGCACAGTAGCATCTTTTTATGAATAGAACAACATGCAAAAGTTGGGCCATCGTGAAACTGGGTTTTTTAGAGAGTTGCGATGCTATTAGCATTATTTGCTATTAAATTCTACTACAACAAAAAATGTGAAATTTTGAATTCAATCGCGACAGATATAACTTGCATCATCACAAAGCTTGTAAAAAACTACATAAAAGACTTTTAAACAGTTTTCAGTTTTATTCTTCAAATGGTTATTGGCTGTAAATTAGGCACATTATCTCGCTAAAAGTCCCTAGTAATTAATTATTCGATGTTTGAAAATGCGTTTTTAACAGTTTATAATTCGAAAATTATTTCAGAAATCAAAAACTGTCTAAATGTCTTATATGCAGTTTTTTATAAGCTTTCTGATGATGCAAGTCATATTTGTTGTAATTGAATACAAAATTTCACATTTTTTGGCTATAATAGAATTCAATAGAAGAAAATCACTAATCACCCGCGCGTTTTCAGGAGTTAGCAGCAATATAGCGATGGCCCCACTTCAAATATCTATTAAGCAAATAAAACTACATCAATTGTAAAAGTTTGATGCTTTTAACCTCAACGGGAACTACTGATCAATAATTTTACACATATCCGCCTCACTATTATCCAAACAAGAAATTATATACCACAATGCGTAAATTCTTCAGTGCTTTTTATCGAAATGGCATGTGATAAAAACCAAACATACAAGGTGAATATTGCAGGTTCGGTGAGAGTGGGATTGGCGCACCTTGGGGGACTGGAAGTTTCCAGCCACCCGAGGTGCGTCCAATCCCGGACACACTTCCCTGCAAGTATGTTTTATAACAAACATACTTGCATAGGTTCGGTGAGTCCGGGATTGGACGCACCGAGGGTGGCTGGAAGTTTCCCGAACTCACCGAGCGAAGCGAGGTGAGTTCGGGAAACTTCCAGCCACCCGAGGTGCGTTCAATCCCGTACTCACCGAACCTGCAAGTATGTTTGGTTTTTATCACATGCCATTTCGGTAAAATACTAAAAATTACTGAAGAATTTTATACGCATTTTACTTTTTAGTATATAATTTCGTGTTTGGATAACGAACGTTTTAGCCGCCAACATGCTACGCAAACAAACAAACTTAGGCTTAAATTAAAGCTAAAAAAATTCTCTACAATACTCCCTTATTCTTCAAAAGAGAAAATGAACACATTCTGCGAAAACAATGCCAAGATTTATATAAACCTGCCCGTGCCGAACAAATTTCGGCGGCCATCTTTCTTCTCTTCCACTTTGAATACAGAATATTCCATTTTTATCAAACAAAATAAAAAAATAATAATTATAAAACAATTAAAAACAGTTAATTTATTTTTTATTTAAATCTTCGTCTGAAATTTGTTCAAATCGCTTCATAATGGCCGCCGCCGAAACATCGATCTCGAACCCACCTCCTAAACTTACGTCAGCAGGTGGGTTCAAGATTGGACGCACTTCCTCCTAGCCAATAGGAAAGCCGCTAATACGCTAGGTATGAGATAAGTTATAAAACACCAACTTAACAATCAAGGTGCACCCATAGTTAATAGAATAGATGGTTTGGAAACTCATTAGAATAACAATATAACTCATTATCTATGTTAGTCAACGTTTGTTCATAAATCTGGTCCTTCGCCGTCACGTGCGCATTGTATTTTTGCCTAACTAATCAATAGCATGCAATGTTTTAAGAAAGTTACCTATCGGTGACTCGAACAATATAGGATAAGTTTGAAATTGCTATTGGTGGGTTTGGCAGAAATACAATACACGCTTGACGGTGAAGGGCCATATTTATGAATGAAAGTTGACCAACATACTGTAGATAATGAGTTAGATTGTTATTCTAATGAGTTTCCAAACCATCTATTCTATTAACTATGGGTGCACGTAGCTTTTAAAATGAAGTGCGTAAAGTACAGGTTCCCAACCGGTATTCAATCAGTAACTACGAATTAGAATAAGAAGCACAACTGCATTTATCAAAACACAACAATCGACTTAAACATTCCTTACGTCTACAGGGTGTATCAAAATAAACGCAATTCATTTTTGTGCTTAATAACTTTCGAAATACTATTTCTAGTTAAACGCTTTTAGGCTTACTTCAAAGCCTGTTCTTTTCTCTTTCAAACAAACTATTATCCTTGTCTCCAATGCTAGTAATAATTGCACAGGAAAAGATTTAGTAAAACCTATCATTTTTAGTTCCTGTTTAATTATGCAAGTTTACTATGTTATTATTTAGTCGGTTTAAATGTTAGAATTTTCTTCTTTAAACTTTAATGTTGTCGTCACTACATCTGGAAAACCACGTATAAGAACAAATTAAAAGTATTTTAAAAGAGACCAGGTTGTTTGAAAATCCTAAACGAATGCTAAAAATCGTCAAAACATTCTGGTGTCTGAGCCAGAGTGTCATCGAATTGCGATGTAATGTAATGTAAACAGAAATTATAGCAAGTTGATGTCAGTCAGCTTAGATGGTCCAAGCCAAAATTATATGGCATTTGAAGTTTCAAACTGAGTTAAAAATAGTGGAAGAAAAGCCGTAATTATACTTATTGTTACAATCCATTTAATAAAATGCAACATTTTTTTGTTTTAATGAAAAAATCAGTTATTTTCATGAGAACGTTTAGTTATTCCATCTCAATTTTTTTAATCTCCAATCGCAATAACGTAAAGTATTATTACCCGCGAACCAATGAGTCAAATTTAACAAACAACCCACTGTTAGAAAGCGGAATGGCTACGCTTTAAAATGAATGTAAACGTTAACGTTTTCGTCTATTATTTGTTTAGCAATTTACATTTCAGTCGAGGATTGCGCTTTTTTTGATACACCCTGTATATTCTAAAAGCTCACTCACACTCAATTAGTGGAGGTTCAATCTGAGCTTCTCTTGAGTGTCAGTGCTGTTTTTGAATAGCTGGAGGGTGAGTAATCACATACTAAGGTACGACACTAACCCTCCAGCTATTCAAAAACAGCATTGACACTCAAGAGAAGCTCAGATTGAACCTCCACTCATTGAGTGTGAGTGAGCTTTTAGAATACGGGCGTTAGTTCCATAAGGGACCTATCATTATTTATGGCTGGAGTGGGGCCCGAAGAGAAAGTATAAAGGAGCCGAAAAAAGCATTACCCCACCTTTTCCGAAACAAAATTTCTAGCTACGCCACCTTTTTCGAACCAAAATGTCCAACTAACTCAAAAAATATTTACCTCACCCACACCTTTGGGCCGAAAATGGTAGCAATTTCCGCACGCAATACAAAATTGTACAAAATTTGCAAACTTTGAAAGGCTATATTTTCCGCATTTTACAACATGTCACAACCGCATAAAAATTTTACGCTATAAAGCAATAAAAAGTAAATGGGCTTGTTGTTTTATGACTATAGAATGCTTAGCTATTCCTGTGTCATATGAAAGAAAATATGACACGCAGAAATCGAACGAAAATTATGTCAAGAAAAGTCGGTCTTGCCGTTCCCGCAAATGTCAAGCTTAAACTCCCTAATCAGGGAAGGGGGTGGCAAAGGTCGCCTTTGGGGGAGGGGCGTGTTTGTCTTTTCATAACAGTCGCGAGCTGTTTGTACGATCCCTGGGTACGAAATTAGAGAGTTTGAGCAAGAGAACGAAGTAGGACGACGACGACGTGGTTGACAATTTTTGCCTGTCTTGTACATTATCTTGCGCAGTCTGAGTTTAGGGTCAGGAGTGAAGACAGATTAGAGATTCATGTCTAGCTGTTTGTGAATGCTGAGCCAAATCCTTACCCTGATCAGGATAAAACAGCGAGGCATGAATCCATATCCCGTCTTCGTCTTCTGCCTTCGTTCACAACGAATATTTTGGCAAAATTCGTTGTGAACTTCGTTCTGCACGAAGGCAGAAGGACAAAGACGGGATATAGTTTCATGTCTCGCTGGGTTTTTTTCTGGATCAGGGCAAGAATTGTGGTCAGTATTCATAAACAGCGACACATGGGAAGACACGTTGTGCAACCACTAGTGACGTCCAACTCAGTATGCGCAAGATAATGTGCACACGGCAAAAATTGTCAAGTATGCCTTCGTCTTCGTACTTCGTTGTCTTGCTCAAACTCTCTATTAACTTGCGACAGTGTCACGACAGTTACAAGCATATGGAAAGAAGCATAAAAATTATTCGCGACAAACACTTCACGACACGCTCGCGACAGTTACAACAATATAGAAAGCAGACTTATACTGCATGTTGGTTATGAATCAAACCTTGATTCCAACATCAAACGAATTAAAGAACACTAAATCTAAAGAACGAATAGAACAGCAACGAGGATGTTTTATATATAAATGGACACTGTTTGATTTCTTGTAACGTAAAAGCTATAAAAACTATCGCAATGAACTAAAAGATCATTGCATTCAGCATGGATAATAAAATAAATGGATAGGACTCTCGCTAGGCTGGATCGATATACCGGATACATCCGATATACCGGTATTTGTTTAGATACCGGTTTGGCGATATTGACAATTTAAAAATACCGATATACCGACATTTCGGTATTTTGCTGCCTAATACCGAAATGAAACGCTATTTCAAGTCAAACTTGCTTACAATCACGTTTAGAAAGCAAAGTTAATACTCACAGATGCATGACATGCATGAAAACCTTTTCTGGCTTTTCAAGTTTTTTTTTATCGGATAAGAAGGTAACTTTTTGTTGTTTTTAATCTTATTTAACTGACATGCTAACTTGTTTATGCGTTAGTTTTAAAAATGCAACGTTTTTTATGTTTATAACTATTAGCAGCTTACTGAAACACTATCTGAATTTATATAGCTACAAAACGAATATTTTTCTGAATGATTCAACACTTCGACGCCCTACTAATAATTGCAGCTTAGCGCTGTTAATTGTTAACATAGCTTGATAATGCGAATCTTGTGACATTTGCACTAATAACAGTATGTGCCACATTAATATTTTGTCAGAATACCGGTATTTACCGGTATTCTGATGGCGGTATATCGGTATTCGGTATTTGCGATATCGATCCAGCCTAACTCTCGCTGACGTAAGCAAAAACAACCTAGTTGCAATCTGTGACGTCACGCGTATTGCAAAGTTCTCTGCATTTTTGTTGTTTCGCTATATTTTCCGCCTTAAAAGAGCAATATTGAAGCATAAACCGGTCTAATTGTTTTAAAAACATGCCTAAGCCACGACAAAGTATTCAAGGTAAATGTTTTTCGTCTTTGTTTTGTATTTTTTTACATTTGTGGCTACGAAATTGGCGTCCCCAATTTTAACGAAATTTGGGATGCCTTTTTCACTGTTTAGTGCTTGATATATTTGCTAAAATTGACTGGGAATACTTAGAGATTTCATCGTAGAATGGCGTAGTTATATTCATTTGCTCTTTGACTAAAATGTTTAGCTGTATTATTGCTAAACATGCCGTTTTTGAGAATTTGGTTTGCAACTAGGTTTCAACATCCAATCACGCCATCAGCCCATTGAAAACATTAGGTCACGTCAGCTAGTTTCCTATCCATTTATTTTATTATCCATGCATTCAGTAAGACTTAGATTTTGATATATAGCACTTGAGTTTACATGCAATATTGACTGCGCTATTGATGTTTGAACGTTCAACTGCTGCTTTTGAAAATGCAAAAAATTAGCATAAAACAACCTAATGTAATTTTACCGCATGCAAATTCAAGTGTTCTATATCAAAATCTAAGTTAGTCCTTTCTGAATGCAATGATCTTTATTTCATTGCGATAGCTTTTATAGCTTTTACGTTATATGAAATCAAACGATGTCCAGTTTTTTTGGGGGGACTCCCGGTATAGAAAAGAAAATAATTTAATAAAGTTTGCATTCTTATTATAGGGTCTCGAAGAGCTAAACAGGTCGTCAATTATGATTCTGAATGATCTCAAAAACCATCTTTAATGCTCTCAAAAGCCATCTTCAAGCCATCATGATGAGAATTGGAAAAAAATGGAATGGTATGATATCGCGTTGTGTGAATTCTCGTTGTGTGATCTGACTCTAGTTAATTCCGTGATTAGATGACTACCACTAAACTGTTAACTGCACCTAACCTCAATTCCTTTTATCATTTCATTCTTAAGAACTTCTGAAATGATGTGATAACTTATTTTGAAGACTTTCGTTTGCTCACTTTGTTTCTGAGATATTTCAGTTTGTTTGGTATGCAAATGTCCGGAATTTCCGTCACAAATGCATAATGACGTAAAGTAAAAGCTTGAATATCGTATTCACTATCGAGTTTAATTCATTAAATGAAGTTTGGAGTTGTGGGAGGATTACATATACCTATGCAAAACACCATTTAGCCTTTTTATTTCATGATATTTAACAGTACCTTACATTCTTTGGTCAGTCATTATTCATATGTGACGTAAATTCCGGACATTTGCATTTCAATAAAACTGAAATAACTTAGAGACAAAGTGAGCAAACGAAAATCTTCAAAATAAGTTACAATATCATTTCGAAGGTTCTTAGGAATGAGATGTTAAAAGAATTGAGGTTAGGTGCACTTTAATCATAACACAGTTGAATGCATTTTACCTTTTGTCCGATCATAGCTAATAGAATAGATGGTTTGGAAACTCGTTAGAATAACAATACAGGGTGCATGTATGAAAAAAAAGTAGACAACTTTCAAACGGCTCTCAAACTCACAAATCCATTCATTTCATGAAATTTTTTATAAAGATAGATTGTTTGGGTACTTATAATGTAGAATAAACAAACATTTTTCGTGAAGATAAATTTTCCAGAGCAGGCGAGGGGGGGGGGTCTTTTTTAGTAGCATTAAAAATAGCTTACGCGCGAAATTTAAAAGTTTAAAACGCATTTTGAGTTCATAGGCGAGAAACGTGTTATGTGTTTTATCAATGCTCCAAATATCAGAATATTCGCTTAATTTTAAGTCCTTTAATTAAATAGCTGCTGAAACTTTCATTTTTTGACACAAATGCCCATCACGCATGCTTAATTAATGCGTTTACCAAATTTGCATATTGGTATTGTAAAAAAAAGTAAAATAACAATATGCAAATTAGGTACATGCATGAATTAAGCATGCGTATTATAGGCATTGGTGCCAAAAAATGAAAGTTTCAGCAGCTACTTAAAGGACTTAAAATTAAGCAACTTTTCTGATATTTGGACCATTAATAAAACACATAACAAGTTTCTCGCCCATGAACTCAAACTGCGTTTTAAAGCTTTTAAATTTCGCGCGAAAGCTCTATTGTTAACGCTGCTGAAAAAAACACCCCCCCCCCCTCCCCCCGCTCTGGAAAATTTATCTTTACGAAACTTTTTCGTTTATTCTACATTATAACTACGCAAACAATTTATTAAAAATTTCATGAAATGAACGGATTTCTGAAACTGAGAGCTGTTTCAAAATTGTGTACTTCTTTTCTGATACACCCTGTATTTAGTCTGGTTCTTTTAATCAGGTCAAATCTGACCAGATTCCTGGTTACAGCAACTAGACTATGGTATAGGACCCTTATTGATCGCTTACTCTCGATATAAAAAAAAAAACAGCGCGATCCCTCTCTTGACGGTAACATGCATATCCTCAATAATCCAAGATGGCGAACAGCTCACTTTTTCAGTCGAAATATTTTGAAAACTAAGCAAGATATAAACAATCTGTAATAGAGTTTAATATATAGTTTTAAGAGTTCTTTCAAATGAACTAAAGTAATTTTTTATGGCCAATGTTCTTTAAAGTGTAATTTATATAAATCGTTCAACAGTGAAATTACTTATCTGTAGAATAGCGGGGTATGTATAGGTCTGACTCTTCCACAGTCCCTAACATTGCTTATTCATGCAATGATTCATGGGAATGCGATGAAAATTGAGTATAACGCGAAGGACCATCGCATTCCCATCGTTCAGCGCGCGTTGGGTAATTCAGCGCGCGTTAGGTAAGCGACTGGGGACGAGTCGGGTATAGGTATTCATCTCATATTCAAAATTTACAAATAATGTAAGATTTTTCTTGGGGGAAATTTATGTTTCAAAAATACCATATAGTGAAATTTTGATACAAATTTTATTTTTGTACAATCGTTATTTTTTATATATTTAAGAATTTGTATGAATTGAAGTTAATAATCAATATTTAAAATAATTTGTATTTTCAGTTTCAGTCTAATAAATGTATTTAAAATACTCATTACAGTGCATCTACTGTAAGTGGGGCCACTTAGAGAACACTAACCAATCGCATTGCAGAACAGAAAGAAAAATCTAATCAAACTAAAGCTCGTCCAATCAAAAGAAAGATTCAGGAAGCCATTAACTGCAGTGTTTACTTTTACAATTCTATTTTTACTGTTTGACATTCGTTTATTTGTTCAAATTGTTTTTGGCCTAATGCTGATTGGCTAATGCGCCGTTTGTTGATTTTTTCAATTTCTGTTCTTCAATGTGATTTGTTAGTGTTCTGTAAGTGGCCCCACTTAGGGACGGACCATTTGATTTTTGATGGGGGGGTGGGTAGAATCCCCAAAAAAATATCGAGCAAGCAATTCAAACTTAAAAAAAATATCGTGCAAGAATAAACGGACGAAAAAAAATATCGAGCAAGATTTTCGAGTGGTAATCCTTATTTGCCATTCGGTGCATTTCCGCGTGTAGCCCAGGGCCGTATGTAGCAACTGGAGGAGGGGGTGGGGGACTGCAGGGTCCAGGAAATGGCATTTCAGAGACTCTAAATTTAAAAATTTCCTCGGGCCTTCAGCCCTCGCTTTCAGGCCCTCCCCAATCAAAAAGAGCTTCCTACGGCCTTGTAGCCTAAATAATGGGAGGACCAGTATAATTCCAAAAATGGTTGTTCTTTATTTCTTTACTCCGACTCCTATGATGAACATGTACATAAAAAACTAGGTTAAACTAGGTTACTACGATTAAATCACGGCCGTAGAAAGTAAAATAGGTGAAATTTTTATGGGACACAATCAAAGGCGAGGATATAAGAGCGAGAGATTGAAATTGAGTAGGAATAGCGTACAGGGGTATGCGTTTTGACCTAACAGCTTTCTTCAGCAGGGTTTTTTAAGAGGGGGGGGGGGGTTAGATATAATTTGAAGAGGAGAAGGAAGGAGAGTTTATAGGAGTTCGGAAAACTTGTGACTGTAGGTGATTGCATCCAAATATGGTGTTAGTGGTGTAGGAGCTTATAAGACAGGGATAGGGGCGTTTGGCAATTAGTGATACATAAGGGATAAAAATAATGATAATAACACCGTGCAGGGTTTGATTTTGTTTAAAATATATGAATATACAATAATAACTAAAACATGTACATATATAACAAAACCAAAACAGAGATTAGTAAATGAATGATACGATATGACCAATAGATAGCTATAGCTAGTTCTGGTGTGGATTTTGCTACGTAGAGGATCCAAGTTCACATTATTTTCCGAACTCCTAAACTCTCCTTTCTTCTCCTCTGCAAATTCTATATACCCCCCTTTAAAAAACCCTGCTGAAGAAGACTGTTAGGTCGAAACGCGTGTAGGGTTGCCTTTCCTATACTCAATTTCGATCTCTCACTCTTATATCCTCACCTTTTATGGAGTCCCATAAAAATTTCACCTACTTTAGTTTCTATATATAATCGTAGTTTCCTTAGTTTTTTTACGTACTACATGTTCATCATAGGAGTCGGAGTAAAGAAATGAAAAACAACCATTTTTTGAATACTGGTCCTCTCATTATTTAGGCTACACGATGTCTTACACCAGTACTTGTCCAATTACCTATTATATACCAAAAAATGTAAAAACAAAAAACTAAAAAATGTATATACATGCATAAAAAAAATATCGTGCAAGTCCTCTGACTGACAAAAAAAAATCGAACAGTGTCAGGAGGCGGAAAAAAAATATCGAGCAAACTGAAAATCTACCCACCCCCCCATCAAAAATCAAATGGTCCGTCCCTTATAAGAAGGCTGTTTATATGGTCCCGCTTACCCGGGATTCAATGAAGTGTAACGTATTTTGATCGAGCAATTGAAATACGTGTTTCAGCCCTAAACAAAAGTTAGATAACTTTAAATATTTTTTAAACGAAATTAGGAATGCGCCTGAAGTTATATGTAGTGAAAGAAGACGATTAATGGCATTCAACAACATTTGGTTTTTTGTTTAAGACATGGAATTTCATACAATTTGTAACGAGCAATTTTGTTCAAAATACGCACGTCACACTTCATTAAATCTCAGGACCCGGGGAAGCGGGACCATGGCCCCAACTTAATGGCATGGCGGCGACGTACAGCTAGAGTTCTGAAATTGCTCAGAACTTCAACTTAACGATACTCCCTATAGGGTATGACATCGTGTTTACAAGTCTGATATGTTGGATAAGTTGCAGAAAAGTATGGGTAATTAATATCTTCATTTTTTGAAGTTTGTCATGGATAATGTAGCTGCTTAAAATTAATCAATTGTCAGTATTTTAAGGGTATATTATTTAAGTGATAAATAAAGGTCCGCATGATTTTGAAAAAAGAATGATTATTAGCAAATTGGTTTCTTAAAAGAGCAAGTCGCTTACATGCAGTTACTGTATTGTGCATATAACAAAGTAAATTCAGCGTGTGTTCCATACATCGGGTTTGATATTACTTTATAATTTCTGTGTATTCGGAAGTTTATTTATACAAACTGTCAAACACGTCACTAATTACATTGACTTTGTCATTGTAGTCACATCGCGAGTTTAATAAAATCTAGCCCTAATCTCAATGATTTATGCGACTACTTCAGAGAAAACTAAGCACATATATTTCAGTTTGAAAAAAGTAGATAATACGGATTGATTTTACGAGCTATTGAGACCTTGAGTAGTGGATTTAAGCAGGCTATCAATAACTGATCTTTTGTCTATTAATTATTATGTGTCAAGTCACGCGCACGGAGCTTTTGCAACATATGTTCATATTGACTATTTATTTCTCTAAAATACCGATAAACAAGCAAAATAATTTAAA